TTTTGTTCTTATGTTTTCTTGTTATTCTAGATTCTTGTGCTGTTCGTTGCCTTTTTAACTTCTATGCATCCCGATTTTGTTTCTCTCACGTACCATTCCAGTTAGAGAGAGATATAAAATCTAGTTGCAGCATCTTCGGTTTATGTTGGTTTTCTTTTATATTCTATAGAATTTATTGTTGTATAAATATGACTGTTCATGGATTATGTTCTTCACGCCTTATTTTCTTTGTCTGGTGTTCTCTTTGTGTGTACCACTTGAATGCTTTAACAGTTTTTTCTTCACTTTATTGTATTTGAGATTTTTTACCTTTGAATATGAAGGCTATTCTAGTGATTTGGTAATATTCATTATTCAATCAGTGAATTAGATAATTGTGTTCAATTGTTCATGGTTTTAGTTTTGAAATAAATAGTTATGAGATGTCTGTACTATTTTACTTTTAAATCATAGTTTTGCCTAACTATACTGCTTTTATTTGAAAATTATTGTATTTATTGATCTTAGTTTGAATTTTTAAATTTTGTAGGAATTTCTTACTCAATGTGAGAATCGTTGTGTGCTTTTTGATAACAAGACTAAAGATGAAGAGAAGAAGTTTCAACAAGTTAAAAAACTTCTCTCTTTTGTTGACATGATTATATCACAGAATGGTGGACGTCCTTATTCTAATGAGATATTTACAGTCCTGAAGGTAAAGGTTTTGCAAATTTTGGTGATGTTATTTATTTCTCAAATATTTTAGAATATAATAATGTTGGCATGTTTGTATTGACCTAAACCAAAAGCTTATTCTCTATCCATGTTTTTGGTTGAAAAAATGATCTTCCACTATAAGATAAGTTTCAACAATTTTTTAAGTTAAAATTATGTTGTTCAACGTAACAACCGTATGAATATTTGAAGTGATTTTTTGTATAAAGTCAAATTAAAGGCTAAAACAAACGATCTTAATGTTTGATGTTACCAAATCACTCATTTACTGCAGGAGGAAGATATTAAGTTGCGTGACCAACGTCTAATGGCTGATTTCATGAAGAGACAATCAGAAACAGAGATAATGGATTTTGGAAAGCAAATGCAGGAAACTTTTGATTACCAAGTATACCAACTAAAACGTGTTTCCGAGATGGTTACTTTTTAAGTCTATATCTTTTGATTTTTATCACTCCATGTCCCTTGATTTTAATCATATTTTTCTAAAAGATTAAACACGGTCTAAAATAGTTTGTCTTTCCGTTCCTTCTTCTTTTGAACCTGTAAACTTTCATTGTCATTTTGAGAAGACGGGTTATTTTATGAGTCTGTGATTTTAATTATCTCCAGTAATAATATTTCAAAATGAATGAGACTGTCAGTACATAATATTAACATTCCTGATATAAAATTGGGAAAATGGTATACGCATTAAATTGTGTTAGTTTTTTCCAATGTTTTTGAATTATTCATCATTCATTTTCAATTATTACCGACTCTTTTAAATAAAAATAATTCGAATGAATGATTGTATTTTCAATTAAATTATATTTTTTATTATCCAGTACGGAATCCCAACCCTTCTGACTTCCTAGTCGAGCTACTTCATTGGCTACTCTATCATCGATATCTAATGCTTGAAATGATGACTTTGTTTTGTAGGTTACTTTGAATTTGGAAGAAGTAATTAAAAGTCTTGAACAACAATTGTTAGAAGAAAAAACTGCCAGATGTAAGTCTGAGAAGAAGGCGAAGACCGCTCAATTGAAATCAGAGAAAGAAATTCTGACATTCAGAGGAGATCTCGGAAGGGCTGAGGTAGAACTTCGTAAGCGAGTTCAGAATGGTTGTGTCATTCTTTGATGGTACAGTTTTCTTCAATCGGTTATGTTTCTATTCCACGCTTCAGTTGCCTTTTCAGTTAACAGTTAAGTACTGGTATTTAAGTTTAATGTTTTGACTTTTGATGGTTGTCCGAATTCTTGTTTTACGGTTGTTATCCTTCAATTCTCAAGTCATTGATTTTTCTGTGTTGAGACTTGGTTGGGTTATGGGGATTGGACATTTTTTATGTAATTTAGCTTTCATATTTCTCTCCGTGATTTTAAGTTGAATGTTTTCTTTCCTATTTTAATGGATATAAGGCTAAAACTCTTTTTGGTCCCTCAGATTAATTTTTCCTGTATATGCCATAGTTTCCCCACAATTATAATTCACCTCAAATTAATGACTCCGTTAACTTCTAGGGAAGATGTGATTACATATGATTATTATATTTTTAAATTTCATACTCTATATTTGTAGTAATATCTCGTTAACAAAATTTTTGTTTTATTATTTGATTTTTTTGCAAAGTATTTTGCATGGTAAGAAATCAATACTGAAAAGAGATTATTTTTTTGCCATTATGAAATATTATAATTTAAGACAATATAGTAAGATAATTTGACATTGATTTACATTACCATAATTTTAAATGGTGATTATCGTTGTGGTTACATCGTGTCTATTACAATTGGTGTGAACTATTACTAGACAACCAATGTTGCGACATATTCAGAACCGATTTAAATGTTGAAGAAGCCATGAAAAGTATTTGACAATGCCTTTCTTCGAGTGTGAAAGTAATCAAGCATCTTGTCTCTTGGGGGTAAGCTTTCCTTAATCAAAGGGTGGCTAAGAAAATTGTTCATCCATGCAGTGGTGGCTGAATATTTGAATGAATCTATTATCTGCATTGACCCAACTTCCTCAAAAACAGGAAGCCAATAAGAGATCCATCCAACTGCAATGTCAACGTATCCAATATTTTCACCTCCAAAGAATTTCTTTCCTTTTATCTCTTCTTCTATTTTCTCCATTGCATCTCTTGCTACTTTCAAAGCTTTTTCCTGTTCATCCCCGCTGCTACACATTGCAACCCATGCACTATCTAAAAGCTAATATATACACAAAGCAAATATTGAAATTAGTTATGAAAATAATTTGGTGTTTGCCAATTTACGAACTGCTACTTAATTTGTCTCGAAGCGAATTGCTTTATTGCAGTTGGATGAGAAATTTTGTTTATCTGCTACTGTTTCATTGAGAATATAGTTTAGAAGTCAGTATGGGAGAATGCAACTTCCAAAAGTCTAAAGTTGGTGTTAGTCATACCAACTTTAGTGTAGAAGTTAGTTTGTGTCATACCGACTTCTAAACATAACAACCAGAAGTTGTTTCATACTATACTGACTTCTGAACATAAGTTTTTTCCTGCCATACCGACTTTTGTACAGAAATCATTCTTTGTTATACCGACATCTGAACATAAGTTGTTTTCCGCCATACTGACTTCTGAACAGATGTCGTTTCCTTTCATACAGACTTCTAAACATAATAGTACAGAAGTCAGTTTGGACCATACCGACTTCTCTACTATTTGACTTCTAAACTATAGTTTTCCGGTCAAGATTTTAAAGGTTGAGATTGAAGACAATATGATATAACGACTTACAAATTAGTTCGCTTGGAAGCAAACTAACTTGTAGTTCGCAAGTTATTCGCCCCAAATAATATTATATTTCTTTAAAAAATGAAGCATTGGATTTGATATATTTACCTTTTGTTCAACAAAATTAGCCCAAAAGCGAGCAAGAGCCCTCTGATAAGGATGTTGAGGCAACAATGGATATTGCTTCCATGTTTCATCAATGTATTCAAGAATGATAAATGACTCAACTATTGGTTTCTTGTCATGAATAAGAACAGGAACCTTCTTAGTAACTGGGTTGAGTTCTAGAAGAAGAGGACTCTTGTTGTAGATATCTTCTTCTATATACTCATAATCAACACCCTTTAGTTTTAGAGCCCACTCAACCCTTTTAGCAAATGGACTCACCCAAAAGCTCACCACCTTCACATCTTTGCTTTCCATGATCACTTATACAACTTCATTTCATTTGTTTCTATTATTTATATGCATTGTTTTTTGTCCTAGTTGAAGCAAAATTTATTTTGTACTCTCTTGAGACGGCAATTTGGACCAAAATGACATTTGACTCATTACATTGCATACCACTTGCACCTTTAATTTGTCAGTATTCGATCACATTTTCTTCTTTTGACATTTTTGTTCAACGATAAGGATAATGTTTGGTGCATGTCACTTCAAACAAGCATAATTTATATTTGTTTTAAGTGTAAAAAAAGTGACATAAAGTGTATGATAATCTAAGAAATTCTATATTGTCCATACATAATCATTAACTTATGTGTTAACATGAAGTTATAAGGTAGTCTGATGGTTAAGATGGAAGACTTAAGGAATAAGGTGAATGAAATTGTGGATTTTAGTCTCACAAATAACAAATTTTCAAAAAGAAAATGAGTTATAAGGTGGGGTTGATGATTAAAGAGAAGGAATGAAGTGATGGAAGTCGAAGGTTCGAGTCTCGTCTACAACAAAAATACTAACATACTAACATTTGCCGATAAAAAAAAACTTATGTGTTAACAATTTTAATATTGAATTAAAATTTATATACTTAAATGTTGAATGATATACTGACAATAATTTTTTATAATATTAAACTCTTCAAATATATGTGGATGTTTTATTCTTAATTCAATTTTTTAGGAAATTTCAAACAAGGGTAAATACTATATTTTTCCATTTTTGGTATTGTGACTGTAGAGGCAGCGGCAAATCCAGAAATTGTAGGTAATCAAGACAAAGATATACCAGTACAATATTTACGTACTGGACAAAAAATCATATAAACATTTATGCATTATACATGGGATAAATATGACAAATTACGACCATATATAATTAAAAAAAACTTCAAAGGCAAGTGGGGATATATGAGACTCCAAATGAGATTCTATTAAACTGTCAAACATGTCACAATATTCAAACCACAATTACATCATTTAAAAGTAATTATGTAAAATGAAACATGCACTTAATTAATCTTTTCAGACTACTTATATTACAAAACATACACATTTAACTGATTTAAGCAGTTGGAAAGTTGAAGAAAATTCGGAAAAAAAATTGAGAGGAAGCTGCACTGAGTTATCAGAGCCAGGTTTCGATCCTGGGACCTGTGGGTTATGGGCCCACCACGCTTCCGCTGCGCCACTCTGATTATTGATTTTGTATTCCCACAATTTATAATAAGAGTAAAATCCATCATGTAGCAATGGAGATAACATATAAAGGATAAATTGATGCATAGAAACACATTAAAAATACTCAATTTACTTTCTATAAATCTTGAGAGTAAATATACGTTGAGAATATGCTCCATTCTATTTCATTGTTTAAAATGCAATCAAGGTGAAACATTTTACACATAAACTAGCATCTTATTAGTCTTGTTATAATCCAAATAGAGTTTATTGAACAAGATAATTTTTTTATCATGTTGCTTATCTTATTCTTCCAGAGCATTGTATTTTTTTAATTCGGAGAAAAGTCTAACTAGGATTAACTAAAGTAAATGCAAAAATGCTCATGACCCATGTGCTACTAAACTTCTTACTGAATTGTATATATGTTTTTCATATTTTATTCTTGGTGTCTTTATATGACATATAGAGTAGCATCACGTAGAACTATACAAGAGCTGTTTATCATGTCATTCTAAAAATGTATTTTTATCCTATTGGGCTGCAATTCCTTAAACAAATTTAGTGCCTAAACAATGATTATTAAATATTTACGAGTGGAAGACTTCAAAATTCAAACTCATACCACAAAGTTCGCACATGTACTTCATGGTTTTCAAGTTTTTCATTTCCTTTTATTACTTTTCAAAAACCAATTTACAAACACACTTTAGAAGTGTGTAGATTACATTTAAAAAATTGGATGAACTATGTTGACTATGCAATCCACATGTTTGAAAAGTATCAAATTTATAATTTAGGTACCATATGAAAGGTAGAAAGTGTATATTTTTTAGAGCAATCATAATAATTTCTAATCTTAAGTAAAATCAGCTACTTTACCTACAAATAGTAAAAATAAAATATGCAAAGGAGATATCAATATACCAAATATATCATAACACTTGCATTTAACCTAATCTTGAGTTGCTATGAGATGTGCTAAAAGCCAATTCATCAGAAGTTAAAACCCACTTACCCCCACTCATGAATCTCATCTTTCTCTAACTAACATTGGTCCAAACCACGCTATATACAAATCCAGCATTGATTTATCTCAAACAAGTTCAAACTCCAAAACAACCTTTAGTTAATTCAAGCAGGCAACTTTAGTTTTGAATTGTTCTTCCAGCTGCAAAGCAATATTCCTGATATTACCTCTTTGTTATATCAGCAAAGCAGAAACATACTGAACTTAATAGTAGATAGTAGAAGAAATCTGCATATATACCTGATGAAGTAATAGTAGAAGAAATCTGCATATATACCTGTCTGGACAATGCCAGACACGCAAGCTATAAAAAAGCAAGAAAGAAGTCAGATTATTAACAGGGTACACACATAGTTTCAAAAGTAGTTCTCGATTTCAGCATTTATTACCTATCCATCGAGTAAAACGCGGCTCAGTCAGATAGCGGTATATCCAGTTCAGAATGTAAAATGCACGATATGCACTGTAGTTCAAGAATGGGTCAGTATATATACATATGCAAAAACAAAAAAATGCCTATCCAGCCCAATAAACAGCATTTGCAAATCAGGTAACATCAAAAAATTATGAAAATGGGCGACCATGAACTAATCAAGCAGAGGTACAATCCATAACACATCATTGCGACTCTAAACCGTGAGTAGAAAATATCCCAATACCTCGGAACTATCAGCTAACGACCAACACAAAGGTGAATATGTTCATGGTATAAGCAAGCAAAAACATAAACGCATATCTTAAAAGTGAAACTAAAATAAACAAAAGTGTACACACCCAAGAAAGAATACATATTGCCCTGTCAAATTGTCCACATTTCCACTTCGTTGCAACAAAACCAACTGGGGCAGTATTGCAACTGCCTCCAAGTATATTGAAAATGCCCACAAGATCTACAATAAATTCAAATAAAGTCAGCATGTATATTCATGATGTTACAATGTGTAACAGAATTATATAAAACTAACATGTAATGCACACAACTTAAAAATCCAGACTGATAATATCAATCAACAGGCAATATATTATTGGATAGGAAGAACATTTGAAACCAAATGACAGGTTTTCTTTGAGATTTGCAACAATTAACTGAAAAATAATATGAAGGAAAGACCAGTTACACACACAGCAGATTCCATAAGGATATAGATATCATATCCTCAGAAGTTTCATCACTCACTATGCTGGCCTACCTTTTACCATTTTATATGGCTTTTAGCCGTTCTCAGTTAACCATTTATGAAGGCCATAGGTGACATTTTAACATTGAATGCTTTAAACTATCAACGAAGTGTATGACATTTAGACATGAATTCTTATGAGATAGTTTAACTCAAATTAAGTTATCCCGTTTTCTCTCCAAGCATTAGCATTAAAATTGCATCAATCCAACTGATTGCAATTCAATGCCTAGATGAGCGATGGATAAGGATTTTGACTATCAATTGTTTTGTGTACTCCTCACTTCGTTGTGTCATATAATGGGCGGCAACCCAATGCACGAGGCTAGTGGGATCCGGGGAGGGTAGATGTATGCAACCTTACCCTCACAAGCGAAGAAGTATTCGAGTGTCATATAATGATATATCTAAAAATTCCAGAAGCAGCAAGCTTCGAAAGATCCCTAATAGCAAGAAGCTTGGCCATCCCTTCGAGCATGCTGCAGCCGTGTAGGTAACAAACTCGAGGCACGGCATATGACTGCACTACTGTTGGTAATTCAATTGCCAAAGTTGAATTCAATTACTAATTTAATTCCGAATCCTATCACGTCTACGGTGTCTTTTCATCCAAATTCTCATCCATGTACATTGAACTTAGTTAAAAACAAATTAAATAGCAACATAACTCAGTATCTAATCAACAACAAAAATTTAACATGCATAGCAGAGAAAGTAAATAATGGGGGAAATGCAGAACGATCGAAAATCAGAAATATAATAAATTATAAAAGGTGACAGGGTGAGGAGTAAAAGAGCGTTGTATGTACCTCTTGAAGGGTGAACTTCTCATTCAAAACAAGAGCGAGAACAAAAGTGCCTCCGATAAGAAAATAATGGCGGAAAGTATCGAGTTCCTTATCATAACTTCTCTTGACAAGAGGGTGAAGACGCATGCACCACACAATGGCCAAAGAGCTTGCTATGAATACCACCTTCATGATGGTGTTGTATACTGAGATGAAGTCAGTGAACAAATCCAAATACCGTGCCAGAAACACCAATGCATATAGCTCTTGAGTTTTCAGAGAAATCCCTAAAACCCAAAAAATAATATAAATAAAAAGAATATAAACTATTTCTAGAATTTGAACGAAGCATTTAATTGGTGAATGAATGTGTGAGAAATAAAAAATAGTAAAAATAAAGAAGGAAAGGGGAAATGAGACCTGACCTGAGCATGATTTGGTGGCGTAGATTTTGAGGAGGAGAACAATAATACTGAGAAGATGAGTCATATCACCGGCGAGCCTGAAGATATTCATGGTTCTGTTTCTATGAAAATACCCACACTAGCCCTAGACAGAAGAATGAAGCAGAAGAAGAAGGTGATGGAATCTTATGCGGAAATTGAATTATTTCTTTTTTGTTTTTGGGAAAGTACTTGTGTGTAAGCAAACGAAGGAGCTGATGTGGCAATCTCGGTTTCTTTCCTTTCTTACACCTCCCCAACCCTTCCAGATTTTAATTTCTTCTTATTTCTGGTTATTTTTTATTTATAAAACTCATACATACATTCTTTCTGTATATACATGTAAACTCATCAATTAATTATAAATATAGAAGTGAGTGTGAAAATCTTTTTAGACAAATCTACATATATATATATATATATATTATCTTATATCATATCTAGAGAGACAAAAATATCCGATACTCACACTAGGTACCCGTGGGAGGAGAGGTACTTCCTTTTCATCAATAATGTGCATTTTATCATATCACAAACAATTGAGTTGTCACTTATCATTCAATTTTCCCTGCATATCAAAGCAAATTGCAATGCCTTACAGTAGCCAAATCCACTTCTGAATCACCATTACCTGTCCTGAATCTTGATGCACCACCTTGATCTCCATAACAGATTAAGACATCCCCTCACAAAATAAACAATAAATTATTTTCATAACTAAACCTTGTACCTACCCATAATTCACCCAGCATCTATAAAACTTATCTACCCAATTAGATATACTACACGTCAAACACTCCTTGCAATAACAATTAAGTGAATCAAATTCTCTTCTTACCAATAAGAATATGAATCAAATTCTCTTCTTATCACTCCTACTACTTCCCCTTATATTTTCAACCACCACTTTAGCTCAATCACCAGCCTCAGCACCAAAAAAAGCCCCTGAAAAAAACCCTGCCCCAACCACACCAGCTCCAGCACCAACAAAACCATTAGTCCCATCATTACCACAATCACCCTCATCAGATTCTGGAAGCCAAGACATCATCAAAATCCTAAGAAAAGCGAAATCATTCAACACTCTAATCCGGTTACTAAAAACCACCCAAATCATCAACCAAGTCAATGCACAACTAGTAACAACAAAATCTGGAGGCTTAACAATTCTATCACCAGATGATGGTGCCTTCTCACAACTAAAAGCAGGGTTCTTCAACTCCTTGGGAGAGAGACAACAAAAGGAACTTATTCAATTCCATGTTATACCTGTTTATGTGTCAAGTTCAAACTTTGATTCTCTCAGCAACCCAGTTTTGACACTGGCTAGTGATAGCCCCAGAGGGTTTCAGTTAAATGTTACTGCTTATGGAAACAGTGTGAATATCTCAAGTGGGGTGGTAAATGCCACTGTTACAGGCATTGTGTACACTGATAAGACACTTGCTATATATCATGTGGATAAAGTGCTTATTCCTTTGGACTTCTCTAAGCCTAAGAGTATTGCTCTAGCGCCTTCACTTGCGAAGGCGCCGAAAGCTGATAAGGAGAACTCTTCTGCTGATGAAGATGATGATCAA